CTCATAGTCCTCATCATCATCATCATTTCACTCTTCCTCATAGTCCTCAAAATCATCATCTTAATACACAAAGTCATCATCATAACCCAAAGCCCGAACAAGTAGTTGGATGCAAGTTAACTTAACTACAATTTCTAAAAAATACCGAAAACCAGGGGTTTTGACACTCGAGCACTCAAAACGACCAGGCGCCAGGAAGCGCGGAACCCTAGTAGTAGTAGTAGTAGTAGTAGTAGTAGTAGTAGCAGTAGCAGCACTAGTAGTAGTAGTAGTAGTAGTAGTAGTAGTAGTAGTAGTGGTAGTGGTAGTAGTAGTAGTAGTAGTAGTAGTAGTAGTAGAGGAAGTAGTAGTAGTCGTAGTAGCAGCAGTAATACTAGTAGTAGTAGTAGTAGGAGGAATATGAAAACAATCACAATGACTACCTCCCCTTTCTCCTCCCCTTGCCCTTTGTTTTGTCCATCTAGAACAGTAATAATGCTGTCGCCCCCCCCAAACAGAAAAGAAATACTAATAAAGCCCCCCGCCCTGTCCCTGCCCCTTTCCCTGCCCTTCGTGCTCGTCCCTAAACTGATAATAGTGTTATGCTACCTCCCCCTCCCCCTGCCCCTACCCCTGCCCCTCTCGTCCACCTTCCTTCATCCCCCTTGTCTTGCATTCAAAGGTACCTCGAAATAATAGTCATGGCTGCCCACCACCCCCGGGGCTCTTAAAAAGTTTCGGGTGCGCCATCCTATCACGCCTAAACTCTGTGTTGAGCGGTTAAGGAAGTATGTGCAACGCTACCCCATTATAGTCCTTAGATACCTGTACTAGAATATATTTGCGCACTCCAATGATCAATTGCACCCGGAGCGTGGCTGGGGTGGTGTGGAAGCGTAGTGGGATGCCATCTAACACCTCCGATGCTATGCCATGTTAATTCAGGCAGCAATGGATGCAGCTGCAAATTCAAGCGCCGCTGTTTATTGTCAAGTTGAAGAAAAAGCGACGAGGAACTTTCCTGTGCTGTTGCTAATCGTGATGTTGATTGTGATGATTGTGACGATCAAGATGACCAGGCTCGCAATGATCGTTATAATGACGAAGATGGACGACGACGAGTATGAAGAAGACGAAGACTGGAAATAGTAGTATGAAGAATAGCGCTGCTATTAATCAGAATATCAGTAATCATAAGATGATGATGATGATGATTATGATCATCGTGTTGCATGTGATGACGGTGGTAATGATGATAATGACTGTTGATGGTGATGATGATGATAATGATTGTTGATGGTGATGATGATGACTATAATGTTGTTGATGATGATGAGAATGATGATCAGCATCACCGTCATGGTGAGCATGATGTGGACGATGATGTTGGTGGCGATGATGTGCTGGTGTTGCTGCTGTTAGAGAGGGGCAAATTGAATGATGCTGGTCATGCTGTTGGTGGTACCTCGAACCGAGGATCCTGGCAACGGCGGATGCATCCACTGAGGTGCAGGTGCGACTGCGCTCCAATCCGTTGGAACCTCACATGGGTGTTGTTCTGAGCTCTTTTGGGGTGCTTACGACGGAGACGTCCAATGCAATTAACTGTTCTGGCAGGTATGTACCCTCATGTGTTCATCCGGAAGCAGATGCATTGTCTCGGTGTTGTCTGCATCGTGTCAGTCTGACAGACCTGAATCCTGGCGTCGTGGTGGTGTTGAATTTCCTGTTTGCAGATCTGCTCTCCTTCGCAGTTCGCTGTGCACCTCTCCATAAATCCCCGAAGATTCAACGTCGAAGATCCTTCACTACCCTCAACTGAAATCTTAGAAGATCTGGTGGGCAAACCTCCTGCAACCCTGCCGCCGTCTTACGTCGTGTGAAGAGCACGAGAACCCAGAACCTTCAACCCTTGAAACTAAACCTGCAAAGAGCCCCGCACCCTCTGCCGCAACAAAGCTGCATGCTTCAGCTTTGGGCGTTCCTGGCCCTGGATGCCGCGCTGGGCCTTGCCGGGCCTGCATCGGCGCTCCTGAGCGTGATACCTACCCTTTGACCATGATGGCGTCTTATGGTGAGGATTTCTACAATGATGGGAATGATGGTTGCGGTATCATCTGTCCATCTCTGTCGTCACCATCATTTTCATCGCCCACGCATGTTACGTTGCAAGACTCGGAGTTAATCTGACGGCACACAAAGGGCACTGCTCGAACACTTGATCCGAAGCCCTGAGGCCCCAAACTCGTACACAAGAACCATAATTCTGATCCCGAAGCCCGGAAAAATCGATCTGAGGTTGTGCTTTTCTCGGGCTGGACGTTGCCTTAGCGGCCCTCGTTTGACGGAAGGCATGGCATGATAGCCAGAGATTCACAAACATTTGTATGGGGGCCTTGCAAGTCAGAATGTGTGGGCTCTGAGTAAAAGCTGTGCCAATACATGTAGATACGTGCATGCATATATTTGTGTATACGTATATGTTCTATGGTTTCATACATATATATATATATACACATGTACAAATGTGTTTTTTATATTTCGAACATCTTCTTGGAACGGCGGTGTTTTGTTGCCTGGGCTCGTTTGACATTGCGGGCTTGTCGCTTGTCGTGCATAGAGATGTTTTGCGTTTTGTGGAATTCTGCTGCGATGCTTCAGTACTGAGTTCTGATTCGAATCATTCGAATCAACAGGCGTCTAGGGCCACCGAGCCTAGGGCTGTGGATCAGGGCGCTGAAAGAGCAGATCATGAGATGGCCTTGAAGTCTGAGTGCCATGGTGAAACGCCAGGCGTAGGATTCTCATCAGTAAAGCTCCACTCATATTGTCGGGTTTGCGGTCCTTTATTCCTGGGCTTGTGGACCTTTTTATGTGGGCACTGCATCTTATGCTGTGCGTCTTGGCCCTGCAAAGCCATGTAATGTCACTAGAGTAGTTTGGCCCTTGCACCGTGCAGTCGTCAGACTTTCAGTTCTCCCGTCCAATCTCATGTCACGGCTCTGTCGAAATCGGACATCCAGGATCAAGCAAAAGTTCGTCGACGATCAGACGGCTGTTGTGCGAACCGTCTGTAGGACAAGAAATCATTCTCTGCAACATTCTCCATTTCCGATCATCGCATGGTGATTCAATGATGCAGGTCGTAATTTGGCGGCATAGGCGTGCCGGGGAAGGATTTGAAGATGTATATCCCTCAGCCTTGCCAGCAAGCCCGAAGGCTATTCTGTGCTGAACTTCGCGCTGAGCAGCGGCGTGGGAGTAGGTGCTGGGGGCATTGGAGTGCTGCAGTGCTGTAGGCTAGACGTGTGGGTTGAATTCCTTTTTCCATAGGCTGGCTTTCTTGTGGGACTTGTGACTTATGGCAGAGTGGAACTAGAACATGTTTCGTGAAGAAGCACGCCTTGAAGAGAGAAGTATATCCAACACTATCACAACCCGTCGATTTCCGCAATAGTCCTTCGCGCCCGTAAAGCATTGGGATGGAGTCCTGGGTGATAACCAGCATGTCAGTCGCTGAAGCCATCGTAGCGGCTGGAAATGAGTACTCGCTTCCTAGACCCTCCATCTACCCTCTATTAGACCCTAAATACCCTTAATTTGGGACCCTATACCCGTATTTGAGGGTACTTGGAGGATCCTGGTTATCGTCTCCAAGACAAGTCGAACCACAACCTACCCCCCAAACACTGCACCAAGTCTGAAGGCCCCCTACAAAAACTCTGCGCAGGTTTGGGTTTGGCCTTGCCCATCCACCTGAACAGATCCTTTTCTCGGATGAATAGACTGTGGGAGCGGGATCCTCTGATAAGGCGACTGATGCATCCCTGGCAGCTCTAGCACGAAGAACATCGCGGAAGCGCAGGGTTCACGCTGTATCTGCATGTTTACGGCTCATGGTGTGCAAGGAGGCCTACGCTTTGTTTCTCGGGGTTCCTGAACATACCTCTACCTTACTTAAGAACCCAAAACCTACTTTTTTGTAGGGTCCCTATAAATCCCATATTAGGGTTTATAATAAGAACCTACAAAAAAGTGGGTTTTGGGTTCTTAAGGTACTGTCTATAGTCTAACAATCCATCGAAACCGCAGTCTAATTATTTGGGCCTCCATAGTCTTCGAAGTGCTGGGGCCGTTGCTTCGCAGGTGCTGCCCTGGGGGTGCTTGGTAACTTCACCACGGTAGGCAAGCACCTCGGCTGTGTATGGATGTAAAGAGATCGACTTTTATTTTAGGGTTCCCGTCCTGGAACGCTGCATTGTGAGGCAAACCGTGGCTCAGACCTTCGAACAGTCGTTTAAGAGGATTCGGGTTCGATAGTCTCATCCCGAAGCTGCACACCTTGGAAGTAACATAGGGGGCATCAACAGTTGTTGAAATCCCAACAGTCTCTGCTTCTAGCCCAGTTCCACACCCCAACTTTCCCATGCTCTAGGTGTTTAGGTTCAAGCTCATTCACTGTCGCCCAGAGCCAGCCAGCTTCCTAGAACACACAGTAGTTACGGATTCAAACGAATTCTCACCCGTAGGCCTTGAACCCTGAAAGCAGGATCTGGCCTTGAAGCGCCCCTAAATGCTGGAACCTTCAAAGTATCCTAATAACGAAAAAACTTGAGCCTTAAAGGAGCTTAGCCCATTCTGAGTATTTTTTTTATTGAGGCCCCGGTGTCAAGCCCGATACCCCGAACCCCTTTCCAGATCATGAAGGCCCCGATGCAAAACCCGACCCCCCACCCGCCACCCTCCACGATCTTTGTCTCCCTTGGCAAGGTGTGGTCTGGTCCTGACTTCGGTGAACACTTTGCTGGCACTCCTGTCGCTTCTAGGGCGATGTTCGAGAAAACTGTTGGGGTTAGGTCTTAGTGGATGTCTGGAGTTTCAAACTGTACGGCCTGATTTCGGGTTTCTAGTATACAGTATACGGTATACGTCTATGTGTATTTGGAATTTCGTGTGGCTTTAGACTTGGAGTGAGGGTTTCACTCCGAATGCTGACCTTGAACCGGCCCAAAGCCCAACTCCAACCTCACTGATTTGCTCCCTGAACCCTACCTTGAGATACCACAACCTACTGTTGTAGGATCGCCGTATATTCCTGTTTGTTCTTCTAACATACGCTTGCAATAACCTGCCAAAAGTAGGTCATGATAATAGGTGAAGGTAAAGTCTAGAACGACCTAGAATCCGAGGCCACAGGACGCGTCCGTCAATCGGGAGGAGAGCTCCGTTCCGCGCCAGGTTGCGACTTCCAACTGGGCTTGCCGTAAGCAAACTCTAAAGCCCTGAGCCCAACACCCTGAAGGTCCTAATCCCTGAAGTACCAAACCCTGAACTCTAAACCGTCAAAAACCGACGGGCCAAGAAGCTCTACAGGCCTTGAGCCCTATATGTCTTCTATCCTCGGCGCCATCAGCAATACGCTTCTTGATCCCTGAAGAGCGGCTCCCGACAGACTCTCCTGAGACTCTCGACTCCGCCAGACCCTCACCCTTAAACCCAGACACCGAGTCAGGTTTCCTTGAGTCTACGTAAGTCCAACCCAGACCCTGGGAGCCTTAAGCCGACGACACATAAGGGTTGAACGTTTCGACGGATTCGGGTTTTTTGGTGAGAGCCCCTCACTTCCGTGGCGAGGTGATGTCTCTCTGGAGCAACAGAGCCTTGAAGCTGCTGGCTGCGGTGGTGTTTCTGGACTTCCTGGCTGAGCAGATGAGACCCGACCTGGTTAGGGCATTCCGGTTTGGGGGAGCAGGATTCGCCAAGCCTGACAACCCCAAACCCCAACCGGCTTTTGGGTTGAGGGTTGGGGTCTGGAACATGAGGGACCAAGCTTGAGGAAGGAATCTGGCGAGCTCCGTGAAGCTTGCTTAGGCTGGTTTCCTTGCTGCTCCTCTATCTGGAAGCTCAGTTCCACCTGAGCAGTGCGCCCCTCGGTGACTGACATAAGAGCTTCCACAGTGCTCAGTCGAGATTTTGCGCAATAGCCCATGAGCTGAACCCTTGTTCCCGGATCACGTCCTGGTGCTGCTCATGCAAGCCTCTCCCCTGACAGAGTTAGGTCAAGCTCATGGCGCCCGGTAATGAAGACACTGTTCGAGCTTGGGTTCTGTAAGACAAGGATCCGGGGTGGATTAGGGCATGAACAAGGAAAGCCACACTCGCAACAACTAATTCCAAACCGTAGGCCAAGCCTTCAGCTCGAATGTCCCGAACACCTGCACATGACCCTCAAAACGGAAGTGGATGGAACCACAGACTTCTTAGAAATCCAAAGCAAAAGCGCTTGTTCCCGTCTTGGGGCTGGAACCCTTAACCCTGCACCTTAGACCCTAAACCGTAACCGCAGACTCCAAAAAGGAGGCAGTCCTAGAGCCAAGGCAGCTGGCCTGCCAGTTGGGCCTTGTCGGGCTGGCAGCCTCGGTGTCGCTGCTTCTGGTGGCCTCTTGGGGGCAGCGGGGGAGGGGGGGGGGGGTTCGTAGTGTGTTGCTTGAAGACATGTTATAGAGTTGGTTTCGCTAGCTCATAGCATGATATTTTGAAGACCTTTCATGATTGTACTGTGTGGTTATATGCTCATGGGGTTCGACATGTGCTTGCATGGCCCTCCACGCCTCAGAGTTGTGGCGTGTAAGGCTGTTGGTTTGGCATTTGTTGTCTGCTTGTGTTGTGGATCAGATTGCATTCAGGTCGACAGCGAAACGAAACCCATCAACCCTGACCGTTGCAGCGTTCAATCTTTTCGAACCGACTCCCGAAGCCCCAAACCCTAAGACCAGGAACGATCCTTGGCCCTGGACTTCAAAGACGTAGCTAAGGTTCCTTATCTCCAACCACGCCTTGGTGATCTGCTGCTCATGCAAGTGGGAATGGCCACCCGCTTGAATCAAAGTTGCCAGCAGATATTGGATCAGGAGGAAGTCTGACGCCAACCCTGCAGTCCAAGATCTATACATTTGGCATCAGTTCTCAAGGTGGCGACAGTATGTAGACTATGTAGACGGTGACGAAAGCAGCAAATTGAGAAGCCAAGACCCGTTTCACTTTTTTTGCTTGTAGCTCGGAGCCCTTAACATCTGTACGGCCATCTTCGAGTCTCCAGCTGTGAGGTCGCCAATGTGGTGTCGGTAGCCCTGTTTGGTGTCATTACCGCACCGTGGCAGGCCGGGGTGGGGCGAGGTGGAAGGCTCAAAGGGTCTTGAAGTGGGCCAGGGCTTGGAAGTCCTGAAGCCGCCACCCCCGACCCACACATTTTCTGTTTCTATCGTTGAGGATGGGGTGAGGGCGGGGCGGGGAGGATGCAAGCTGTGGACGAGTCTTAGGTAAAGGAGTGTTTCAGAACCCATTTGGTGGGCTGGAGGACCTGGACATACGGAGTCATGATGCGATGTTTTAATTTCCGGGTGAAGTCCTCTGCGCATTTTGCCAATCTGAACAAGGCTTGTGTTTGATTGGCCTGACCGCTAAACCCTAAACTCCAGGTAGTTTGCAGAATGCCCAGCGTTCGATCGCTCAGTTTCCACCGTAGACCTGGTGCCTTGTTAGTCCGAAAATCCTGCACCTGCATGCAAACACCCAAACCTTAAACCTTGTTTAATCCCCTGAACTTCTGTCAAGTTGCTGCCCGCCAGAAGAGTCTTCACAGGCCTTCCTGCCTCCTCTCGGCTGTATTCTCAGCTTTGCTGCCTCTTGGTTTCGGAAGCTCAAGGGACCTTTGTTGGGTTTTCTTTTAAGGGTGATTCGTGGGTGCTTGAAGAGTTCCTCTAAGGGTGTTGCGAGGGCTTCTGTCAGGGGGTTTTCCAGGGCTTTAGGGTCTGAGGTTGAGGGATTGCACGTTTTGTGTGGGTCGCTTGGCCCAGTTCTGAAGCGGAAGCGTCGCCCAACTTACCGCACCCAGAACCCACCTCCCAAGCCTTCAAGCCTACTCCCTCAGTTTCAACAGCCTCGGCCCTTCAAACTAACTCCCATGCATCCAACTTGCCACTAACAGCCTCCATCACGCCTTGCGGCCTTGCCTACCCTCGCACACCTGGCCGCGAAGTTTCAACGCTTCTGTCCTACATCCCTAGAACACTCAGCCGCAGTCTTGCAAAAGGAGGTCCAAGTCTAAAATGACTTCACAGGGGGAGGGGGGGGGTGTTTCTTGTAAGGCTTCCAAGAGGCTTCAGAGACTTACTCTGGGGGCCTGAATAAGCCGTTTACTACTACACCTTATGGTCCCTTATTGTGTGTATGCTGAGATATACCCCACCCCTATTCCTGCTATTCTGGCCCCTACATGTTCGGACATCCGTCGGTCATTGAGCATCTTGCCGTCATTGCTGCTTTCAAGTGGAACTAGAACTTACTTGGGACCTAGCATGTCTATAACTGTTTCGGGGTCGGACTACCTCTTAGTTGTATTCCTAGGGTTCCTCATATTCCATCTGACTATTGAAACAAACAGATTCGAAATTCAGGTCTCCATCTTAGGCTCTGAGTATTCCTACTATTACGGTCCTTATTCACCCCAAACCCTAAACCCTAAACCCTAAATCCTAAATCCTACTTAAGGACCCGAAGTTGAGGTTTTTCCGACGGCCAACGCCATAGCCGCAGCGTCGGTTCCGCGCTGCGGAGCCATGGCCCAGGACGGGGGGAATCCCACAGGAAGCCACGGTTTACGAATTTAGGGTTTAGGGTTTAGGGTTTAGGGTTTAGGGTTTAGGGTTTAGGGTTTAGGGTTTAGGGTCATGACTGACTGAGGGTTTAACAGGGTTCTAGGATTTAGGAGCGTGGGGTTTGGGGTTTAGGGCTTAAGGTTTCAGGCCTTGGGTCTGGATGAGGGCTTAGGCCGAGAGGGGCAGGTGTAGGCTTTAAGCTGTAAGGCTTCAACTTTGGGGTTCATGGTTTTGGGAGTGGTTCGGCTCACGGCTGAAGGCTCTAGGGTATGTAAGCCTGCCCCAGAAGTCCTGTTGCCGATATTCTCGACAATGATGGCTTATATCTAGAATGATGGCTTATACCAAAGTCCCAACGTATATTATATTATATACTACTATACCTCTATAGCCATGTGCAGTCCCATCGGCCCCGAAACCGTAGGCCGCTCTTGACAGGGTGTTGTCTCCGGCGCGCGAACCCTGGCAGAAGGCTCGGCCCCTGCCGCTCATCCGAAGACTTTCAGGGTTTAGGGGTTTAGGGGTTTCAGGGTTTAGGGTTTAGGGTTGAGGATCTAGGGTCTAGGGTTTACTTGTTTAAGGGTTCAGGGTTTAGGGGTTTCAGAGTTTAGGGAGCAGGGTTCCCTGCTCCGGACCTCCTGAGACAAAGACTGACCTGTGGTAGGAATGAGATTGATGTTGGGGCTAAGTCCTTTTTGTGTTTAGGGCCCTTCTGGCTAGGACATTCAACTATTTACAGTGCGAGTTGTGATCCACGTCGGCCAGGAGGCCCTTGTGCTAGAACATCACCCCCCCTCCCCTTATAGCGATTCTGAAAACCGACACTCCTCAAATCCAAAAACCAACAAACCTTTGCCTCTGAGCCCCGAGACTGTTGCCTTGATCCTCGTACTCTAAACCGGCCAAAGCCCCGTAGCGTCTGATTGTTGCAGTAATGGACTGTTTAGCAACAGGCCGCTTCATGCCTGACTGCAGTGGAAGACCCGATCCGAAATCCCCTTCGATTCAGGTCCCGAACCCTCCAACCCCAAACCCAAACCCTCAGCGGGCCACTATAAGGGACGCATCCGGGATCTCCGGAAGCTCCTAAATCTAAATCTCAACGCTTCAATCGTCGAGTGCGAATCTCCAGCGCCTGCAGTTCCGAAATACTAAACTACTTTATACTACTATACTACCATACTACTACAAGGTGATTTTTGGGGCGCTCTTCCAGGTGGGCAACGCAGGGAGTCCGGGCGGTATTGAAGCGAGGTGTTGAGGATTGTCGGATTTGGGGGGGCTTACTGGGAGAACCTGGAGTTGCAGCTGTAGGTTGATTGCGACTCTAGTGCTTCAAGACTCCAATCAGTACCATGCTAAACGGTAATTGAAAGACCAGCTTGTTCGTAGTGCATGTAAGCGCAGCAGGCTTTTTCAGCCGCCTGATTGCGGCGTTTTGTTCAACTTCTTCATCTGTGAGTATGGTCCACAAAAATGTCGGTGACCTCATTGACCTAAGTGCCAGCTCAAAGATCAATATAGGTAAGGGTGTACAAGTGTCTCAATCTTCGAGCCTCTTTCAACTTGGTTGGGTCTTCGAGATTCCATGGAGGTGTCTCGGGTTTCGGACCGTAATTAGGCCGGCTAACCGTCTAACAGCCCGAAACCTCCTTAGTGTGGATGAGCCTTGAGTTACACCTCGGACCGACGGACAACCCCCGCAAACTTTACCGAGCCTTTTTATTTAAGGCATTGATTCAGCCGTTGCCCCTTTCAAGCCACCACAACTACACCACTAAAGCGAGCCCTTGAAACCCTGGAACCTCCGAAAGGCCTCACTCCCAATTTCCTGAAGCCGTTAAAGTCGACCCGTATCCCCTTTTTTTTAGGCCGCTTCAAAGAGCTCCTTCCCCGGCTGGCCCTTCCTGGTTGCGGCGGGCTGCGTGGCTGTGGGGCTGGTCGTCTCCTTCTACCTCCCAAAGCAGGCTCAGTAGGGTGTTCGTTGCCTTTTTTTTTTCACTTTTTAAGGAAAGAGGAGGGGTTTAGTATTCAGGCTCGAAGGGCACTCGTAGTTAGGGTGTGGGCTTCAGGTTTTTCCAGGTGTTAAAGGAGGTTGACAGGGTAGGGCCTTCGAGTCCCCGGCAGTCGGAGCGTGACATTGTGGGTCTCCTGGAAGTCGGGGTCCTTGGTTGGGCGTCCCTACACCTGCTTTCCAGGCCCATTTAGCAGGTTTACTGCGGATCCTGAACTCTGTGCCGAAACCCGAGACCCGGAGGCGGGCAATGAGCAAGGTGGCGGCACAGCTCTGCACGACCGGGTGCTTCTAGATCAGGCCGAGCGCTCTTGGTTTTCTTCTGCAGTAGGGGGTTTTCGGAAAGATCCACTCTCCCTATTCGGTGTCGGGCTTGGTGTCTTCTGAAGGCTACGGACGGAGCGCGCAAGGTGTACAAAGGCTGCATCAAGAGTTTTGGGCGAGCTTCGACGCCACGCAAGCATGGACAAAATGGGACCCTCAGACTCGTCTCAGAGAGAGTTTCCACTGTTGAGCGCTAGCTTATATAGCTGGGTTTAGAGATGTTTGCCGTTTTGCTGACAGCCGTAAGCTCCATGGCTGACTCGCGAGCCCCACTTCCCGCATCCTGAACCCTGAGTCCCCTACCGTACTACGTAACTACGACTTCCTGTCATACTTGATAGTGATAGCGCCCTGCGGCCTCCGATGCTGAGCCAGTCCCATGTACTTTTGCTGTTGGCGTCTGTTCTCTCAGAGTATCAGAGGGTACATCAACTCAAGTTGTCCGAAGGCTGCAGCTGCAGCAGGATTTACGGTGTCTCCAGTATGAGCGAAACCTTTCGCCATCGATCCCATCCATTCCTCTGCCGATGGCGTAAGCTAGGCTCCTCCTTCCCTAGCCGAGCCCTATAAGCCTTGAACCCTGATCCCCACCTTAAACCCCAAAGCCCTCGAAGAGGCTTGTCATCTTCAGCAGCGTCCCATGGGTCGCTTGTGTCTTGCCTGCTTCTGGGGGTGCTGGCGTTCATGGCAACGCCTTCTTGCTCCAGGGGTACGAGAATAGAATATTGATAGGGTTGATACAAGGCTTGGCAGGGCTTACATATATAGCTTCGGGGAGCTATGGCAGAAAGCTTTAGAGGCGGTTCCATGAAGAGGGAATAATGATTCTGGGCATGTTAGAAGGTGAGTAATCGGCTGAAAGCTCTGCAGCGAATGCACCGTAAGGCCGTAAGGACAAGAAAACCGGTTAAAGCCACTACGAAAGTCCTACTTCGCCTTGCACCTCATTGTAGGCATTGAGTTCTGAACCTCCTATACCCTCTGAACTAGTGATCGTGCGGAGCTCTAAACCAGCTACACCTCCAAACGCAAGCCCCAAAAGCCCATGGTGCAGGGGTCTGATTGCCTCTAGAGTTGCATATTCTATGTAGTCAAGCCACTTTACCACATTAAGAGTCAGAGTAGGGCTTCTTCCTGCTATTACAACCCTGAAAGAAATCCTTATAGTATCACGTAGAAGCCGTCATAGTACCCTTTACTTTGCAGAACCCTATATGCGTCCTCCACCCTATGCCCCCTATGCTCCAGGCTTCCTTCCTGGCTCCCCAGTGGCCTCCTCCCTCGAAGCTCCCGTGGCCGACAGCCCTGGACGCGCCCCCGCGGCCCGCGGCGCGGGCGCGCAGAGCGCGGTGAGAGGGCTGGAGCTGGGCCCGTGGTTTAATCGTTAATAAGAATTACCCATACTCTGTTGGTTGTTCCTCATTATCATTGTGTCATTGTACATGGTAGAATCTACCCCAAAACCCTATTCTAATTAATTATTAATATAAGGCCCCTATATTAGGCTGCGTGTTGCGGACTCCAACTCCGACAATCGGACGGAAGGCTTTGGGCACAGAAAATAGCTTCTGGTGCGAGGCGGGGTTTGCGTTCTACAGCAGAGTTTTGAGACTTTGTCTGGTTGTGGGCTCTAGGCTTAAGACTTCTGATGGCTTTATGCATTCCGCTGGAATGGCAAAGCTCGTGACGTGCCAGGTTGGTCCCTGGTTCTCCGTATTGTGCAAACAGTATACGAAAACAGGAGGCGTAAGTGATTTTTTTCGGAATCCTTATTATTTTCTGAGTTCCTCTGTCAATACCGAACCCCCGAGCTCTGAAGCCCCCCTTCGAAAAACACTGATTCCGAAACCCCACAACCCCAACCCCCGAGCGTAGAACCTCGACAAACTAAACCCTATGCATGAGCATTAAATCTAACTTAAACGCCAAACAACAGGCCGATTCGGGGACATATTCCCTGAACCCCGGGCTCGACATCTTGCGCTTTGAAGCTGCATGACGCGGTATAGCCCCGTGACATACAGTTTCAAGCCATGAAACTTCCGGTCATTTCGATAGGTTTATAGTGAGACCAAACCCCTAGCCCCTCAACCCTAAACCCCTAAAGCCCGCAAGGCCTAAACCCTAACCGTATTGAGTATACATAGTAGGTGAAGGGAAAGCCGAGAGACAAAGTCGCTCAGGTCTGAGCGAGCTTACGTCTGGGATATGACCCAGACTGGCACTCAGCCAAAGGGTGCTATATTGGGAATGTGTCATGAAGCCAACGAGTGATGCTAGTGTTCCTGAGGGCTATTCCTTGTTAATTTTAGTTGGGAGCCGGAATGGTTTTTGGTTGATGGGAGAGGTCCGTTGAACATGGCAGGGCTTAGTTGTGGGGTGTGGCGTCTCCAGATGTTCTCAATGTAAGTAAAAAACGCGTTCAAGGTCGTATTGCTCGAACTTGCGTAGTCGCTGCTCCTCTTCAGGCGTACATCAAGCTTAAGGCCCTATAGATCTGATCGCGAGCCCAAGCCTGAAGCTGCTGAAACGCACAGCTAAGCCTCGACCGCTGGGTGTGTATAGGTGAATCTTTACACGCATGTAGGCATGCACATGTACGTGTGGGCACGTGTGGGCATGTGTCAACCTGTAGTTGTACAGACATGGGTAAAGGGTGATGCCGTGGCCCCATGTACTGCACAGACTGCCTCAAACGCACAGCCACAAATCAGTTCATAAGTAGTGTCTACATGCACATGTGTATGTACGTACGTAGGTCTGTATGTATGTACGTACCTACGTGTGTATGTACGTATTTATTATCCAGAAAACAACATAATACGGGCCTGCGTTTTGTGTATTTATGTATGGAATGTATGCTCGCCATTTTTAATTCGTTATATACATGAAGCCTATACTCCGGACTCCACGGAGCATCAACCACAGTGAAGGCAATATCTTCAGCCTTGTGCGCACCTCGACGGCCGCATAGCAGTCGACACCCGAGCTTCTTCCAGACCTCTTGAATCCACTACGATTGACGGTAACTCTTGGATCACGGTGCAACGCTTCACTGGTTGCACGGCTTTGTGGATGTGCCGTCAGAGTTTCCAGATGTTTCGAGCGTGATGAATGATTAAAAGGCAGGTGAAGTTCATTGATTCGCGTGCACACTTCGCTTTAGCACTGCTTTGACCCCGGTGCTGCATGCGCACGGCAGCTTGTCGCATCATCATTGCCTGAGTTGGATTGTGCGATGCAAATGCCGTTTTTTCACCAAGATTGCTGAAAGTTATTACGGGCACATGTTGGATTTGTTTGTTTTAGTCTTGGTGAGGGTGTTGAACTTTGCCTGGGCTTCTCTTCGCATGTGGTACGATGAAGGGTTTAGGGCTCACGGTTTGGGGCATCGGGTTCCATGGGGTTGAAGGGTATCAAGAAGTAGGGTTTGTAGGGCCTGATACTCGGAGCCTTGTCCGAGACCGTCCACCTTTGATGGGGATTCGAGTGCGGAACAGGCTTGCCGGAAAGAGCCCCATCAAGCCCCAAACGTGTGACATCTGAGCAGCTTTCCCGTGCGTGGGCCTTGCATTTCGGAACGGTGATGCGCATTCGAAAATCAGCCGCACCACGGCGAGACCTGAAACAACACAGCTTTCCGGGCTGAATCCCTGCCATTGCAACTCAGTCTGTGTAAGTTGCCCCTGCTTTGGGTGTCAATAGGAAGATGCGTGACCGCCTTCGAGCATTTGGAGATCTCCGCCAGTGCCAGCATCAAATCATGAGCATGTGGCTTTTATACAAAGGATTGGCTCCCTGGACTTCCACGAGCACAAGCCACCCGAAACCTCAAACTCCCGACGCTAAAGCCACAAGAAAGACGCAGTTGAAAATCGAAACCAGAACCTCCGAGCTCATACCCCTAAACCCTAAACCCTAAACCCTAAACCCTAAACTTAAACTGAAACCGCCAAAATCGCTCGAAGGAAGTTTGCTCCTCTCTCTCCTCAGCGCTCCGCCGTGACCGGGGCACCGTCAAGGAGGCCTTCCGCTCCTGTTTAGCCTAGGAGTAGGGCTTAGGGCTTAAAGCTTTTAGGGTTTAGGGTTTAGGGTTTAGGGTTTAGGGCTTAAAGCTTAAAGGACGACATTTGACATGGCATTTGTCTTTCACTAGAGTTTCGGGTTTACTCTGGGTGGGTGGAAGTTGTTCAATCGGGGTAGTAACTTACTTCACAAGTTGCTCGACGTTTAGACCTTGATTGAAAGTTTCGGGTATCGTCTGTTCGGCATTGAGGATTTGATGGTGTCGAGCTGCTACTCCGCTTTTGCTTGCCCTCCCACAGAGTTACGCGGATCGCGCTGCAGGTTCCCTCGCGGCACGCCTCGCCACAAAAGCAAACGAGCTCCAACCCTTGCCGGGCACTTAGTCCCTGCACCCTCAAGCTGCACGAGAGTGTGAGCGGCTACACCCACGCACCCTGAAACCTGAAGTCCATTTTTTGGTGTTCTCCTTCTTCGTAGACGTGGCAGAAAAATCGAAGCCTCCTACACTGTTTCGTGTAGGTGTCTGTGTGTGTGTGTACTCACGAGTTAACCAAAGCTCAAAGACGGGCTGTAAAACCAATTGAGGGTTTACCTGCGGGTCTGGGCTGAGGGTCTTGGGCCTTGGACCGATCCTACTCTTGGGCTTGGCTGCGAAACGTGCAGTGTAGTAGGAGCTTCCATGCCTTCATAGTTGTAAACCAGTAGATGCCGTAGTGCGACTTGGCATCTCCGATCTAGCTCGATGGCAAGGCCCCGCAGCTCTTGTGAAGGGGCCGGCTGCAGCCGTGGACGAGGCAAGCTGAACCTTGGCTTATGGAGAACACTTGCAAGGTAGAGTTGTGTACTATTCCCATTGCTTCCAACATAGTATAACAGCCTCCAAAACTCCATTCCAATTGTTAGGGCCCTTTAAGCTTACCCTTTCAATCCTCAATCCTAAACTCCCTTGGCGCGGCGGCCGGCATCCTACACCTTTCACCCTACGGATACCCTGAAACCAAAGCTAGCTTGGGGTTCTCAGGCCCCGACTCGGAATGAAAGTTCGGGGCTGAGCTTGCATTCTTGGAGGCCAGCTGGGGCCTTATAACAAAAGGAGGGACTTGGGGTACAACTGTAGTACAACTACGGGAAGAAGTACGGAATAGTGTTTGTAAGTATTTAGGCCCCTGTAAAGGGTAAGGGCGGTTTTTTATTCACAGGGCTCAGTTCGTTTTGAAGGAATACGAAAGAGCTTGCCGTAAGGGTTATATGATATAAGGACCTGAAGCTCAAAAGGACTGTTGCCGCTTGATTCTTATCACGCTCTCGACGGGCATTTCGAGTTGCGAACACCTCCGTACCAAGGCCCTTATGCTACGACATACTATGCGACATTACACTATATTAAACAATACTACGTAGGCTAGACTACCTTATATTACGTACAGTATGCTCTTCTATCTGATCGTATGCTACATCATCTTATACTATCTTACGTTAACTTATTACAGTTATACTATTCTATTTTATGTTATGTTATGTTATGTTATGTTATGTTATGTTATGTTATGTTATGTTATGTTATGTTATGTTATGTTATGTTATGTTATGTTATGTTATGTTATGTTATACCACATGTATATATATATGTATATATATATGGTATTACACAATAATCTGCTACATTACCATACCTAAATAAATTCCCTAAGTCCAAGAGGTCCGCCGTCGAAGCCCCCCTTTCTGGGAGGTCCTGGTCAGCTTTCGGGCTACTGCCGAGGCCATGAAGCTGAACGGCCCAAGGCTCAGATACTGTTTTTGTATTCTTCTTTAAACAGAAGGAAGTGTTTAAAAGAAAGATACCTTACGTCTAGAATTAAGTTGTTATGATTACTAGTACTAATACTAGTGTTGTTCTCCTTATGGTTCTTACCGTTGAATGACTGTGAATATGGTTGCTACTGGCACTACTGTGCTTGATCATGTCTGTCGTGATTATCATTATACTCTTATTGTTATTGCCATTCTTGCGATGGTTTCCACTATTGCTAATGCTACCTTTCTTCAATCTGGCAGTTCTTCAAATTCGGATACTTTTTGTGGATTCCAGACAGCCCACCAAACATCACCGAAGGGGGTCCAATTGTGTGGCTCTCGAAACCACATTTTCCGACCAGGAACGCCTCTCTCTGAGTTGGGCTTGAAATGGGGGGGGGGAGGGAGGGGGGCGGGGGGAATACTGCGCCCTTCCCGATGAGGTGTTTAGTGCGGGCTGCACGTCTAGGCTTCTAGGTTAAAGTAGGCTTCCGGCTAAGGGTTTCCAGACTTTCTAGTGGTCCATCTTGGTTGCTTTTTCTGCACTTTGGGCTGTGGCAG